TCTCTCTCTCTCTCTCTCTCTCTCTCTCTCTCCCTCTCTCTCTCTCTCTCTCTCTCTCTCTCTCTCTCTCTCTCTCTCTCTCTCTCTCTCTCTATATATATATATATATATATATATATATATATATATATATATATATATATATATATATATATATGTATGTATATATATGTATATATATATATATATATATATATATATATATATATATATATATATATATATATATATATATATATATATATATATATATATGCATATGTGTATATATATACATATATATATATATATATATATATATATATATATATATATATATATATATATATATATGTGTGTGTGTGTGTGTGTGTGTGTGTGTGTGTGTGTGTGTGTGTGTGTGTGTGTGTGTGTGTGTCTGTGTGCGTGTGCGTGTATGTGTGTGTGTGTGTGTGTCCATCCATCTATGTATCTATCTATCTGTTACTATTATGTGTGAGGAACTAGCTGAGAAACGTTGTTACAATATAATCATTAATGTGATTAGGATGATTTATAAATTGTAATTATAGATTACAATCTCAGTTATAGCGTTTTTACCTTACCACCCTCTCTCCCCTCTTCCCTTTTCATTCTCCCCTTCTCTCCCTCCCTTTATTCTCACTCTCATTTTCCTTATTATCCCTTTCACTCTCGTCTCTCTTCTTTCACTTTTTTCTCTTCTTTATTTATTTTTTCTTTACTCTACCCAATTTTATTTCCCTTTTCATTCCCTTCTTCCCCTTCGCTATATTATCATTTTAATTCTATTCCTCTCATTCTTATCTTTATTTGTTTTTACCCTCTTCCTCTTCCCTTCCCTGTTCTGATTTCTCCCTTATTTCTCCTTCCTCTCTTTCTCTCTCTCTCTTCCACTTCATTATTCCTATTTTCGTATTTCTTATTTCTTTATCCTTTGGGGGATATTCCTTTTATTGTGTATTTGTTTCTTTCATTCTTATTTTCCCTTCGCCTCTTCTCTCTTTTTCTTTTTCAGTTTTCTCTCACATTTCTTTTTCAATTTTCTTTTTCTTTTACTGTTGCCTATTTTCATTTTCCCTTTTTCCATCCTCTCCTTGTTGTTCTCTGTCCCATCGTTCTATTCTGTTTCTCTTTCTTCTTCTTTTTTAAAAATTCATTTCATAACTCATTTCCTTCCCCTGTTGTTGTTAGTGTTGTTGTTATTGTTTGATAATCTACTTTGCGAAGTTCATTTTGTTAGCATGTTGATATCTACTTCAGAAAGCATTTTCCTGTTATATAAGGTTCAGTTTAAATGTATTTACGTTTGTTTTTTGCATCAGCTGGGGATTTGATTATGCAACTTTTGACACTGCAGAGATTTTGTTCGATCACTAAAATGGCTTTGTTCCAATTTGTTCCGTGTCACTTACAGTCATATGACACCCCAACCTCTCCCTCTCTCCTCTTCTATTTCTTCCTATTCCTTTTTCCCCCTCTCTCCTTTTTCCCCGTTCCCCCATTCCCTCCCCTTCTTTTTTCCCCCTTGCTTTCTCTCCTAGATTCTGCCGTCGATCTCTCCTCTCTTGCCCCTCTCCTCACTTTTATCTGTTCGTTCTTTAAACGCTCTCTTTCCCGTTATTCTTCTTCATCTCGTTCTGCACTTTTACCTTTCCTCCTCCTTCCCCCACTGCCTCCGTCTCTTCTTCTATCCCTCTTTCTCTTTCTTTCTCCTGTTTTTTTCCTTCTCCTCTCCTTCTCCACCCATGTCTTTCTTCCTCCTTTCTCTTCCCCCTATCTCCCTTTTCCCTCCTTCTTCCTTTCTTTCCCCTTTCCTCTTTCTTCTCCCTTCCCTAACCATAATAATTTTTTCACTCTTTTATTTTCACCTCTCTCCTTCTTCCTCCTTCCTTTTCCCATACAACGCCGCCCCCTATAACAGACTCACTGGATTCCCTTCGCTCTCCTTCTCCCTTCTCCATTACCTTCTCCTCTGCCCCTTCTTCTCTCTCTCCATAACCTCCATTTTCTATTTTTTCCACTCCCCTCCTCCTTTTCCCTCTCCTCCTTCTTTTTCCGCCCCTTTCCATTCTCTTCCGCCTCCTCCTTCTTCTTCTATTTCTCCATACCCTCCCCTTTCCATTCTCTTCTGCCTCCTCCTTCTTCTCTTTCTCCACAACCCCCCCTTTCCATTCTCTTCCATCATTCTCCTCCTCTCCCCCTTCCCCTCCCCTCTCTCTCCCCATCCCACCCCCATCTCCCCACCATCTCTCACTCTCCCCAACCTCACCCATTGATGTCTCAACCCTCCCCTTTCATTTCCTCTCAATCTCTCTCTCCCCCAACAGACTCCCAGCGGAAACGGAGGTCACCTAAGTCCCCGAGGTCACCTAAATCCCCCAGGTCACCCAAATCGCCCAGATCATCCCCTAAGTCACCGAGGAGTGCCAAGAGTACGTCGCCCCTGAGCCCGAGGTGCCACTGCCACTGTCACAGGCACTGTCTCCACGCGAAGCAACATGTGAGTAAGAGCTCGTGGGTGGTTGGGGAGGACGAAGGACGAAGGAGGAGAGAGGAGGGAAGAGTGGGTACGAAAGTAGGGGAAAGGGGAGAGAGGGACGTGTGGATAGGGGAAGAGGAGGGAAGAGTGGGTACGAAAGTAGGGGAAAGGGGAGAGAGGAATGTGTGGATAGGGGAAAGAGGAGGGAAGAGTGGGTACGAAAGTAGGGGAAAGAGAATAGAGGAACATGTGAATAGAAGAAAGAGGAGGGAAGAGTGGGTACGAAAGTAGGGGGAAGAGGAAAGAGGGACGTGTGGATAGGGGAAAGAGGAGAAAAGAGTGGGTACGAAAGTAGGGGAAAGAGGAGAGAGGAATGTGTGGACAGGAGAAAAAGGAGGGAAGAGTGGATAAGAAAGTAGAGGGATGAGGAGGGAGGGACGTGTGGATAGGGGAAAGAGGAGGAAAGAGTGGGCACGAAAGTAGGGGGAAGAGGAGAGAGGGACGAGTGGATAGGGGAAACAAGAGGAAAGAGTGGGCACGAAAGTAGGGGGAAGAGGAGAGAGGGACGTGTGGATAGGGGAAACAAGAGGAAAGAGTGGGTAAGAAAGTAGGGAAAAGAGGAGAGAGGAACATGTGGATAGGGGAAACAAGAGGAAAGAGTGGGTACGAAAGTAGGGGGAAGAGGAGAGAGGGACGAGTGGATAGGGGAAAGAGGAGAAAAGAGTGGGTACGAAAGTAGGGGAAAGAGGAGAGAGGGACATTTGGATAGGGGAAAGAGGAAGAAAAATAGAAAGGGAAGATGGTAGGAGGGAAGAGGGGAAGGGAGGAAAAACGGAAGAGGGGAAGGAGAGAAGGGAGGGGGTACGAGAGGGGCAGAGGAGATAGGAGGGAGCAGAAAATTTTGGGAAAGAGGGGAAGGGATGGTGAAAGGAGGGAAGAGCGTAAGGGAGGAAAAGTGGAAAGGGGGAAAGAGGAGACACAAGAATAAAGGAAAAAGGGAAAGGAAAGATGAAAGGAAGAAAGAGGGAAAGGGAGGTAAAACGGAACAGGGGAAGAGAGGTATGAGGGAAGAGGTGGAGGGAGGGACGAGAGGAATATAGAGGGAAGAGAAGATAGGGGAAAGGAAGAGAATGGGGGGAAAAAGGAATAGAGACAGAAGAGAGGCTGAGAAACGATGGAAACGCGGAAAGTGGGAAGAATTGAAAGGCAGAATTGGAAACAAGAAGGTGGGAAGACGAAGAAAGTTGAGAAGGGGAAAGGCAGTAAAGGTGAAAAAAAGAGGAGGGAAAAAGATGTGGAAAGGAAAAGATAAAGGAAGGATACAGGAGGAGGAAGATGAGAAGGAGGGGATGATGAAAAGAAATAGGACTCGTAGCAGACCGAGAAAGATTAGAAGGAGGGAAATGAGAAAAAAGGTAAATCACAGGAGAAGAGGAAACACTAAACGTGAAAGAGAGAGAAAGAGAGAGAGAGAGAGAGAGAGAGAGAGAGAGAGAGAGAGAGAGAGAGAGAGAGAGAGAGAGAAAGAAAGAGAGAGAGAGAGAGAAAGACAGACAGACAGAGAGACAGATAGAGACAGAAACAGAGAGAAATACATCAAAGAATGAAAGAATAAAAGGAAAATCCCAAGAAAACAATTAATGAAAACATAACAAAAGAAGGGAAACAATAGAGCAGAAGAACCAGCAGGGATTAAGACAAATGAAGACATTCAATCTTGTGCTAAAAATAGAATCATGGAAATTTTGAATACAAACAAAAGAGATAAAAGTACAAAAGTAAAAAAAAAAAAAAAATCGACTCATAACCTGTGAAGAAACGAACAATGAGAGAGGGAGAACGACTAATAAAGATAGGAAGAAAAGAAAATACTGATAATGAAGGAGATTTTGTGACTTACGCTCAAAATAAGTGGTTTACTTTCTCGGGTCTTATGTTGCAGCTTCATAAATGCAAAGGAAAATAGGCGATGGGGGGGAAGGGGAGGGGAGGGAGAGGGAGGGGGCGGAGGGAAGGAGAGAGGGGTGGGGAGGAGGGGAGGGGAGAGAGAGGAGGGAAAGATAGAAAGAGGAGAAAGAGAGAGGGAGGAGGCGGAGGGAAGGAGAGAGAGGTGGGGAAGGGGGGGGGAGAGAGGGCGAGAGAGAGAGGAGGGAAAGATAGAAAGAGGAGAAAGGGAAAGAGAGAGACATAGTGAAAGATACAGAGACAATGAGAGAGCCAAAGAGAGAATAAGATAAACAGACAGACAATGAGAGAGAGCATAAAAAAAAAGTTCTAAAACGATAGACAGATAACCAATAGACAGATAGACTGAAAAGAATACTATATAGCCCTTGTTCCATGAGACCAACACTTCGTAGAATTCCTCAGCTAAATGCATCTGGAATAAGGGACACAGCTCGGCTTATGAATCATTGAATACCATTGAAAGAAGTGGACATGCTTTGTGCATTAGTGCTTGCCTCGCGAGTGTTTTTTTTTTTTTTTTTTTTGCGTGAGTGTTTTTGTTTGTAAGTGTTGT